AACATATATAAACTAAAAGTTATCCTGTCATGGTGAACTCCCCTACATCGAGAATTTAAATGCTGGGATTAATCAAAAAAGAAAAAGAAAGGAAAAATGGAAAAGGGGAAATATTGAAAATGACGAATTAGAAAATATGGAAACTAATTTACTAAAAAACTTTAAGAATATAATTAATTATCCCGCAAATAAGGACGCTCACCACGATTACAAAGCACCATATCGCAAATATTACCATGAATAATTCAAGAACCGGTTCCTGATATGTTGGCCAGTCGGTATCAGACACAGTGAGTCATTTTTTTTTAGTTATTAGCTAGTATTTTTTTCGAAATAACAAATGATATAATATTAAAACGTTAGTCAATTCCAAAAAAAAAAAAAAAAAATAAAAGTTATAAAGTGATCAGAAATTTCGTCGGAAGGACTCGTTACTGTGCACAAACGACACTGACTGATAAGACGTGACAACAACTCGAACTTTTACAGTTTATCTATAATCGGGAGGTAGGCCTTCGGAAGCCCCTCCATATCCGTCTGCAGGTTGAGTCCATGCGTTTGTCTTCTGATGAATATCATCTCCGAAATCAGTAGTGAGGTTCCTCGTCCAATATTGCAACGCTGTCCCAGTCAAAATCATATCCCTCTTGCAACCGATGTTACGTTATAACATTGCGAGCAGACGTGTTCTATCTGATGTGGTGCTTATGTTCCGTGATTTTTGACTTCAGTTGTCTACACGTCTGCCCCACATAACTGAGATGAATGGTTTTCTACTATTTTGCAATTTTTGCAATAGTTTATAAGATATTAATTGCTAAATATTGCAGTAAATTGATCTTTAATAAGTTTTTACTCACATACTATGAACTTTACAGAAAAACTGTAAGAAACAAAAATTGTTTATTTTCTTCTTATAAAGAAGATTCTTAAACGGAACTGATTTGATTACATCAGTTTGTCTATTCTGTTATTGTTAGTAAATCAAAATACATCAGAGTGTCATAGTCGTGATGTACTTAACATTTCGTAGATAAGTAAGTAATTATCTTCTGTAACTACCAATAGATGATTTAATTTCTATAGTTTCGAGTAACCGACTAATTATGTATAATAATTTGCCGATTGTGGCCATTATGGCTTTAATCAGCAAGATATCGCATGCAAATGCTCGTGAACACATTACGTCGACTCTGCTACAAATGCAGCGAGGAATTCATCATTCAGTGTTGAACAGTGAGTAAGGAAAGACATAAAAAAAGAAAAGTAAAAACTTGAAAAAGTAAAAACGAAGAAATAAAAAGGAGCATTGCAAGCGTCAATATTGATCGATGTCATTCACATATGTAATTATCACGTACATTGCTACACTAATTATCGCATACCGTACGGAAAGTAGGCAGTCATGATTAAGCTTAAACTGTTATAATTGGCAGTTATCACGTATACCTTCTCGGCCGTTATCTTGTAGCCAAACAGAATATAAGACAGTATCGTAATGAACAACAATATTCTTGTCATAAAGACGATGAAAGACTGTACGATACCTCTGACGCATGACGCCCATTGAATGATATTAACTTCTTTCCTAAAATTGAATTTTGTAGCGTTAATGTATTGTACAATATATATTTTTTTCTTTTTTATTTCAAATAAAAAATATCGTACAATATTAATCGTCCCAGGATATGACCTCCTCTCTCTCTCTCTCTCCCTCTCTCTCTATTTCTAATATTGGAATTTTATTTCTAATACTGGAATTTTTGTCAATACAAACATTAAAAAACAGAAATATTCTCTATTTCCATTTTTGGGCTACGAAGGCGTTATCACAAACAGGTTTTGCAAGAATTATCTTTCTTATTGCAATGTATTGTACAATCGATACAAATATTTTTTACGTAATCAGTTTATGCGGTAGTACTTACTTTCTTGCTTTTTCTATGAGCGAGGTGAAAAAATTCTCCCAGGTATACATCTTGATGGCTTGGATTCCACTAATAATCTCGTTCATTAATCGTACCCTCTCATCTGTCCTGACAGCAGTTCTTAATTTCAGCTCTGACGAATTCTTGCCTAACCATACTAAGGAATTTTAAAAATATTATACGATTAGAAGCAACTCTTATAACTTGTTAGTGATTTACCAAACGATATTTATTAATTGAGCAGAAAAAAGGCTCAGTAATTAGGGAAACTTAGCAAGAAACTCAACAATTTGGAGACATAGCAATGAAAATGTAAAATTTGGAAACGGAATTTTTTTCTCGTATTTAAAAAAATTTAAAAAGCATAGTTGAAAAGCAACAATTTACAATGTAAAGATTTCAGATTAAAGTTAATTTAAATTAATTATCGTTTATTAAAAATCTATTATTTGTTATTTATTATTTATCAAAACTAATCGTAAGTCAAGATTCTACCAGTAGACAATTTAATTGAAGCAAAAAGACGATTTTCATTAGCGAAGTTACTTATAATTTAAAGTATTTAAACGCGTTTCTTAACTTTGCAAAAGGCACATGTACACATACAAGTTACTTTCAATTTAATAAGCCGATTAAATTGAAATTGACTTGATATATATGTGTACGTGTGCCTTTTATAAAGTTTAGAAATATTTGCTAGAAACTATCAGAGCATTGACTGCCTCACCTTGAAAAGGGATGAACATCAGAAGAAATGCGATACCGAAAATAGATGATATTCCGATGTCGATCAAATGGAATGTAATGTATGTGATGATGATGAACTCAAATGGTCCGAGCCACAAATAATGGAGAAATATGAAACTGATGTCGAATATATCGACGTCGTTAGATAGCGGATTAACTGCCTGGCCGATTGTCGTTTCGCCCAACGCGGTTTTAGTTAGCTTCAACGTCTTGCGGTAGATCAGCGAACAGCAGGCTACGCGAACCTTCATACCCAAATGAATCATATCCATCATGTAAGGATGGACTACGAACACGTTAACAGCCGAGCATAAAATAATGCCCATTGCACATTTGTACGCGTAAAACTTGTCGATGCCTGTGGTGTTAAAATAGAGCAGCATCTGACCCAACAATAACGGTTGCACTATTCTGCATCAAAAGAGGAAATTCGTCAGAATGTGAGAAATTTGCAAATTAAAAACTAGTTTAAATATTTAGATTCTAAATCTTAAAAATTTGTGAATTTTAATTTGATTTTAATTTCAAAATTATAATAATTATCGTATTCTTTTTCATGAAAATTCGGAATATACAATTATATCATTCATTTAATTATCATAAATACATTCATTTAATTAGATCTTTATTTAGTTAAATCTTTATTCTTAATTCAAAAAATACCGAAATTTCATTAATAAAAACTGCTTAATAAAAGATTTAATTCCACAGGAT